ACCAGCACAATTTCAGACATTTGGTAGTTTTCAATAAATCAGTGCTGTACTATTGTATTTATTTTAAAATATAAAACTATATATTATATATAAATAGAAGCAGTTATGGTATATTCTTCACTTAGAAAGATTTCTAGCTTCTGCTCTCTGAAAAATGGTAAGAATCTCAAAAAAACAGACCTTCCAACATAATTTCTATGATTTTTGCAGTCAGCATAGAAATGACATTTTTTAGATTATTTTAGATTCAAGAAATCAGAGCCTTCAAATGCTATCCAAATGAGAAAGGATAAGAAAATTAGCCCATAAGGCTATTTTTGAAAAGTAATTCACTAGAGACCATTGAAGAGCAATTAGTTTGGGTCCAGCAAATGACACGTATATCCATGAGTAGAAGACAAGAGGCTCAAAGAAAAGTGAGCCCCTAAGGACAGCTAAAATGGCTCTCTCCCTTTACCTCGGCAGGACATGTAGATGAGCACTCATGGCCACAGGGAAAAGATCATCTAACTATGGGTTTGCACTTCATTCTTCCCCATTCTGACCTGGTCAGAAGAATGAGTGCAAGAGGCTGAGCAGCCCAGCCACGGTGTCAGTTGCGGGGAGACTTCTGAAGGAGACAGAGCAAATTAACTTTTGTAACCTTAGTTGATCCATTAAAATGTGTCATTCATATTCCTTAGTGGATTGGGGACTAAGTAATTTCAATAAGTACAAAACAGAAATAAAAGGCATTAACTATTTTCTCTTAAGCAAAACCAGGGGACCTATGACAAATGAGCTGTCTCACATATGTGTAACTGACTAGGTTTCAAAATTGTTTGTGTTCCCCAATAAATTCTACTTTAAAATTTAGCCATTTCTTTAGATTTACATTTTGTTCACTTAAAAAATGTATTTTGTAATTCAACAAACATCTTTTTCCTTCATTATTATACTTTGCTTCACATCACTGAAATTCTAACATTAATTTCATTTAAAAAGAAAAAAAAATCCTAACTGCACAAGTATAGTCTCTTTCTTCCTCCCTGGACTTTTCTTTGGATTCTAAACTGATTTTCTCTTGAAGAGCAGTATAAAGCTCAATTGAAAAAATAACTAGCATTGGTGATCTCTCCTACTGTTTCCCCCCCTTCTCCTCTTGGCTCATAAAGTTGTCCTATAGGCTAATACCTAGAGATGGCCTTTCAAATAAAGTCTAGCTCAGATCATACTAAGATTTCTGTTTGTATATAGCACATCAGGTATTCCAGACAGTCACGTCCTTCATTCACTTATTTAGTTAGTTGTCTTTTCATGCAAGTAGTTTCCAAGAAGACCTTTAGAAACACTAAAGGAATTTTAAAGTGTTACCCATGGACCAGGGAAGGTAATCTAAAGATTATTTTTGCCAGTGCTCTGCCTTGAACCCACTTCAGCTTCCCTCCTCCCTCTTCTGGTCTCTGGAAGATGACCAACCTGCTCAGGCTGCCCAGTCTTAGTCACACATTCTCCTTTGATGTTAACATTGTTAAAGGCGGCAGAGAAGTATGGACGTGGGTGCTGGTTTTTAAACAAAGCAATACCCTGTCAGAGGTTCAGTTTGTGGCACCAGTGGCACACATCAGGCCCTGCCAAGGCCCATTTCAGCATATTCAGCATCTCTGCCTGGTCCAGTGAGACAGTCAGAAGGCTTCAGAAGGAACTAGGGCTTAAGAGTATCTCCATGATTCATTTATTTAACTACTTCCCCATGTTTACTACCTGCTCTTCCACTACTTGTCTTCCCGAGTTTTTAACCATCATTTATCTTACTTCTGTTATCTTGTGCATCCTTCTGAACCCCCTCTTCTTCCCTTATCACTCATAGGACATCCACCATCATAGCTCTTGAAAACGGAAATTAAACTGCAATTTCATATAGTACATAAATAGCCAAGTGAAAAGACCATATCAACTGAAGGAAGAAATGACATCGATGCCAGTGTCTACTTAACTCCCCCTGGTCTATCCTCCTCTGAGGTTGTTGTGCCATGCAGGACCTCAGTAACTTGCCACCAACTGAAATATTTGGAGAATATTACCTGCTAGTCACAGTAACAAAAAAGAAAAAGTTAACTATATAAGAAACTTAAGGACCAGACAACTATTCTGGCTAATATTTTCAATATGCCAGAAGATAATCTTTCAATATGGCAAACTTGAACTATATATGGTTATAGAATAAGTAGAAGATAATTTTAATACTTAGTAATTGGCTTTCCAAATAAAAACAATCAAAGGAAAGGAAAAGAGTTCCATATGCTGGACATAAGTTTTCTCAGAAAATTAATACAGCAAATGAAAATGATACATTTAAAAATACTGTAGTTGCAGGTGATGCCCCAAGCTCAATTGGTAGGGTGCCAGCCACATACACCAAGGCTGGGGATTTGAACCCAGCCCAGGCCGGCTAAAACAACAATGACAACTACAAAAAAGAAATAGCCGGGTGTTGTGGTGGGTTCCTGTAGTTCCAGCTACTTGGGAGGCTGAGGCAAGAGAATCACTTTAGCTCAAGAGTTTGAGGGCGCTGTGAGCTGTGATACCGCCACACTCTACCCAGAGCAACAGCTTGAGACTCTCTCAAAAAAATAAAATAAAATAAAATAAATACTGTAGTTGCCATTAAGAAAGTAGTTTATAAAAACAAATGCAATTAAACAATGAATAAAAATTTATCTTCCACGCCCATTAAAGAAATAGTCACAAAATTTTTCACTAGAACTACATTTTCAAAATGTATAGAACTATAGACTGCTAAAACAGAGTAATTAAGACACTGGAGATCATAAAGCAAGGCAACAGACCAAAGTCACAGAGCTCAGAATGAAAACAGGCAGAGACAGAACACACCCTTCTAACTTCCAACCCAGTTTTTATCCTACTCTGCACACTGCCTCCCTGCTCGATAGGACTTGGCCCAATATTCAAATGCTGGAAACTGTGAGAACCATGGCCTCCATCATAAAGCTTCAAAGCTAGAAGATGGAAATAGGTAGGAAAAAATGACTCACATTTGAGTGTATTCATATCTCAGTACCCCCATTTAAGTAAAATCATACCCTTCTCCAAGGGACGAAAGGCATGTGTGTCAAAAACATGGGATTGAAAGCCAGGCTTTCCAACTTACTTATCATGTTAACTTGTCCAAATCACTTAACCTCTGAGTGTCTTCTTGAGTCTTTAAGGCCCCCTACTGCTCTAATATTAAATGGTACAGAAAGATCACTCCAACCCAAAATTGTGAAGTGTGACTTCCAAAATTGTGGCTTTTAGAGGAAAAAAGTCTCTTGAGGGGAAAAAATCCAGGCGTCATCTTGATTCCTTTCTTTTGCCTACACAGTAATTATCTGGAACCTTCCTTCAAGGCATATCTCACATAGAATTATTTATGCTTTCTACTGCCCACCTCCTCTTCCCAAAGCCAGAGTCCTTCCAGTGGCCTACAGACTCATGTGGTGTAGATCCCAACACCTCTCTTACTTCACAGCCTACTGCCCTCTCCTTCCGTACTGGCCTCTGCCATCCCGGTCTTCTTGCTGTGCCTTGCAAGTGACAGCCAAGTCCCCAACTCAGGCCCATGTACTTGCTGTTCTCATTTCCTCACTTTCTTCAGGTCTCCACTCAAATATCACCTCCTCAGAGCCGCCTTCTACTATTTCATGTGATCCTGGTAGTCTCTACCCCTTCTTGTTTTTTTATAGCACTTCTCCTTATCACTTAAGTTATTTTTAATTGTCATTTCTCCTCCCCACAAGAATGTAAGCTTCACAAGAACGATTGCTGGCTTACTATCCAGGAAGAGAAAGACTATTAGAGATTCTAGGAGGTTGGCAAGTGCCCCTCTACTGCTTTTCAGGTGGGATTCAGACCATACCAGCCCCTTCCAGGCAGAGATGTTTCTTCCTGCTTACTGCACAGATCATTCCATTTCCTCCTATTTCCAGAACTAAACATTATTTGTCCCTTCCATTTACTGGGCCCTTGATATTTTCAGAAAAGAGCGCTTATAATAAGAAAAAGCTGGAGAAGAGTTCTTGGCAATTAATGAGCAAACACTGACGTTAGCAGAGGGATTCTCATCAATTCCATGTTCAGGTCTCTGGACAAGTTGGGTCACACATGCCATTTGTGATCACTGGAGTTACTTGGTTTAAACTTTTCAGGCTGAGAGTATGGCAATGAGTGAGGCAAACCACAGGCGCCAAGTGGCTAATTATATTTTCATTACTAATTGTATGTAGCACAATATTATCTTCCCAAAGTGAAATACCATCAGACATTTGAGAGTTTTCAAATTTCCTTTTCAGCACTCCCAAAGTCAGAGAGGTCCTGCTGGGTAAGGGGACTGCTCTACTCTATTTTTCTCATTCTTTCATTATTAAAAGGCTTTGTGCAAGAGTTGCCCTCACTACATTTCTGTCTCAATGGCCCACTTATAACCTAGACTTTCCTCAGCCCTTATTTCCCCAAATTGCCTAAATGAAACCTGGAAGGCAGGAAATGCTGGCTGTCCAAGTGATTCCTTCAGCAACCACCCTCCTACACTCCTATTATGCTCAAGCCTCCCTTTCAGTTTTCTCCCTTCTTCTGAATAGAACTACTAAACTTAATTAGGGCACTGGACAGGAGCTTCTGGCAGAGCAGCAGTGTGATAATTAAAAGATCATGAGAAAGTTAACAACAGGGCCATGTCTGAGAAAATCTTCTTCCTAAAAGGTTTAATCATCCAAAGATGGAAAAGTCTTTCTTACAACATTGTCAAGAACAGACTCCAAACCCAGAGCCCCATAAGCCATGGGGCCAGGCCTTAAATCTTCCACCCTACATATGTTTAGGAGAGAACAAGTTCAGCTCTGTAAATGGGAAAGGGTCTTTTTCATGGAAAAGATGATGAAATGTTGCTTGTTATTCCGCTTATATAAACAGTATTCTTTTGTGGCACCCCCTGGTCCCCACACACTGCTCTCTGAGCATACCGACAGATGTCCACCAGCTGGTCCAGCTCAGGGCAGCTGCACTCATACATGTCTCGGCAGCTCACGTGGCTCTGGTTCATCAACTCTCCCAGCAGCTGGACCATGTTGTCAGGTGCTTCTTCACATATCTTCTTAAACTGGAGCACTCGCGCAGCCTCACTAAACACGTGCTTTGCCCGCTGGTAGAGTTTGAAGATGAACACTGAAAAAGGAAAGGCATGGGGAAGATGCTTAGGAATAGTTACTGGACAAGTCAGGACAAAGAAAAACAGTTTCAAAGACTCCCATTTCTGCCTTCATTGTCAATACCTTAAATTTTAAATAGGCCTCTCAGTAAAAGATCTCTTTAGAAGGAAAGTTGTGTATTTGAAAGTCACTTTTACTTTTTTCTTGATATTGAATGAAACCCTGTAAGGATATTTTATTCACTTCATTCAGCACACAGAGACATGTGTGCACATTTGTGTACAAACAAATCCATCCCATAGGAAGGGAGAGATAACATGTATTGAACACACCTTACATATTGCTTCTCAGCCTTTTGGCTAAGATCAACCATGAACACACCCTGTAATACAAGCCAGACAGACACTTAAAAAAGCACTGCCTTATGTGGTTCTCATCATAGCACCAGGGGTGGGCAGTATGATCTCTGTTTAGGGTGTGAGAGATCTACTAACCACAAAGTACTAAGGTCACATATTCAGAAAGTGGCAGAAACAGAATGGATCAGGGATGTCTGGCCCTCAAGCCATGTCCTTTCCACTGTGCCCCATCAGATAAGACCACTGAGAGTCCTTATGGTGTCATTACATTTATTAAAATGAATCCTAGAGGAACAGTGAGGCATAATTATTTATATACATATATAATACTTGTATTTATATATGTATCTCTATATTTAATGCAGCATTATTTATCATAGCAGAAAATAAGAAATAACATAAATGTCTAATAACAGGAGACTTTTTTTTCTTTTCTTTCTTTTGGGTTAATATGAGGATACATATGATTAGATTACATTACTTGCATTTATAAAAACTATTATCCATTTAAAAATTATTTCAATTAATATGCAGAAATCTGAGATAATCTGCTACAAAGGAAATTATTCATTATTAAGTGAAAAAACAATGTACAAAATTATATGTAAAATTGACATATTTATGTATGTTCTGATTTTTAAAAATTGATAAGAAAGCACCAAAATGTTAACAGGACTCTATGGTCCATTATAGGTGATTTCATTTTCCTTTTGACACATTTCAGTATTTTCCAGATTACTCACAAAGACTCTGTAACTTATAAGTCCAGAAACAGCCTACTGAATGGCCACGCATTAAAGACTATGTTTATTTATAATGCTTATACATTCCCTTGAACAACAACTGAAACCTTACCATTTTCACCCATGCTGCAGTGGCTGATCTGGTGTGGTGGATCTGGGTAAATTTTGGAAATTAATGAAAATTCCCTGGCCTAGTAGAAAGAGCCAAGGCTGAAAGTCAAGAGGTCTGTCATTTCTTAACAGCTCTGTGACAACTAACCACATGCAAGTTGCTACCTCTGCAGGGCTCTATTTCCTCATCTCTAAAATGAGCTTGGGAATTACTTCTCAGAATCCTTTTAGCTCTAATACTTTATAATTCTATGAACAACTTCCTCCAAGCATATCCCTTCAACATTCATATATTTTTACATTTTGTAAAGAAGATGATGTGACTAGTATCTTTTGTTTGTACCCCAGTTCTACTCTCTGCCTTTCTTCACCTTGCTCTCTGTCCCCAGCAGCTGACCTATGTGGATTACACCAGTAGGTTCCCTTGTCATCTAGATTAGAGAATTGAAGATTAGAAAGAGATGAGAGGGAAGAGAGTAAGGTCAGTGGATTTATTAGGAATAGTTACTGCCCACACCTACATACCAACAGAACCACCTGGAGCTGGTTCTATCCCATCACTATCTTGAACATTCCTCAAAATTGTCTTTTTTACATGACTCTTTCCTCCTGGGTCTGCCTCCAGGGTTCTCTACTCTAAACTATGATTACTTTTTCAGAAACACTTTTACATTTCTTCTTAAAAATCAATAAATCTCATTAACATTTTGCCCTCTCCATAGTACTATCATCATGACTCTTAGAGATGGATAAAATGGCATTGGCAACTGTATCTTAACACTGTTACTTTTTAAAACTTGAGGTTGAAGTAAAATATTTAAAATACCAGCTTGAGGATTCCATATGTTTCAGTTTTACTTCTGAACTATTTAACCTCCCATAATCATAGATGGAGATACACCATCAGAGCATGGGGAATATTGTTTCATTTTTACTATAATGACCCACAGATGAAGAAATAGCCTGGCTCCCAAGTTCACTGTCATTAATCGCTGCAGCAGAAAAGGCACCATAAAGCAACACCTACTGCAATCATAAAGCAATGCTGTTTAGGTAACAAAATGATGTATGTACTAAGAACTGATGTGCAAAGATTGCTTTTAACTTTGAATAATAAAAAGTTTAAAACATAACAAGATAGCAGAGAATATAATATAGTAAACTTCCTAAGTCCATTACCTATATTAAACAATTCTTAACATTTGCCATATTTTCCCTAATTGATACTTTACTAAAGTATTTTTAAATAAATTACAGATGATTTACATATTTTCTCCTTACATATTTGAATGCACATTTCTATAAAATAAAAATACTTGCTTACATAACCACTGTATCATTATCATACCTAACAAAATTACCAATGGTTTCCTAATATCATCTCCTATCCAGTCCCTATTTAAACTTACCCAGTTATTCATTAGTTTAAATTTCAATTAGTTCACCCCAATATCCAAACAAGTTCCATACATTGTATTCAGTTTTTATGTATAATAAGTCTATTTTAATTGAAAATTTAGTAATTTTGTGATACTCTGGTTCTCAGTATCATATCCAAGCACATTTTAGGGTAACATCCTGTAATGAAACTCACTATAGTTCATTAGGGAGAGTATGGTTTGGTTTTCTTTCTGGATTACATACTCCTTTAGGATTAAATATTTTCCTTTAGGATTAACTATTCCAAAATAGAAAACTGTCTAGAGAAATGTTTTCTATTAAGCCTAGCTAGGATTGGTGTCTTGATTTATGACAAGTAACAGTGAGAGTACACTGATCAGATTTCCAGAACTTCACAACCCTGGGGCCTTCCTATGTCTATTCTCTTCTTGCAGAAAAAGTGCCTCAGTGCAAGCCTTATAAATAGGAATGTCTAATGAGGACTCTAGCTGGAAATTCTGAAGTTGCATGAGAGACTGCCATGGCTCACAACCTCCTGAACGGTAGTAACTCAGACAAGGCAAAGGGCAAAAGGGGCATCTGTTTTCAATTGTGGTATAAAAATCTTGCCAAAGGCTACAACATATTTGGAGGTCACCCTCTGGGAGGGAATGCAGTGCTGTGTTGGCTGTATATCACAAATGCTCTCCGGATCCAGGCTTCTGGCATGTTACATGCTGGCAACTTATCAGGTCTCTGTTGTACAGAGCCAGAAAATCTGACTCTTTATCCATAATAGCTTTCTTTTCTGTTCAGTTAACTTTATAGCTGGATGTTCCATCTGTCTATAAGCTCTTGTAATCCTGGAGAGCAATTATTACATTAAAGGATGAAGGAAGCTGTTTCTTACTATGTTCGTTGTATCCATGACTACTTCCAAAGCAAATTCAATTTAAGAATAGAGTACTAGATGCTGTTTTCCTACAATTCTACTAACGGCCTATCCTATCCATGAGAAATCCAAATCTTCAAAGCAGGATCTATCACACAGAAATCATGGCACAGTTTCTGAAATATAAATGTTCATGGCCATATAAATTTAAACTGTAAAAAAAATTTCATTTTGTTGCTAAATAATTTTGACTGGTACACTAAACTCTATTTGCTAAACTTTCCTCCTAACTTCATCTCTCTTCACCTACCCCTTTCTCAGCCACACTGGCAATGGCCTCTTTGCTGTGCCTCTGGCACCCCAGGCAGGTGCCTACCATAAGCCCATGGCTGTAGCCATTTGGTTGGCTTGAAATGCTCTTACCCATCATCTTCACATGGCTGGCCCCTTCTTGTCATTCAAGTCTTAGATATCACAGCTTCAAGACCTTCCCTCAGTTCCAATCTAGAGTATCCCACACACATATACATTCTCTATATCCTGTTTTATTCTCCCAACTCTTGTCACCATCCAATATTTTCTTCTGTTCATTTGTTCATTAGTTTGTGTTTATTTCTCACCACTACAAAGTCAGCTCCAGGAGAGATAGGGCTCTGCCTAATTTCTTCACCACCGTATCTCCAAATGGAGATAAAATGGAACTTAGTAGGGGTTCAATAAATGGAAACTTAGTAGGGGTTCAATAAATGTTTGTTGAAGAAATTATTCAGTTCCTTACAACAATATTATGCTGAAAGTAGGCTAACTAAACAGCTGTGGGACAAATAGGAAATATAGGGAAGACTTATTATTTTGGCAACTTATACTTACTAGCTTCTTCACCAAAAAGTGTGGAAAGTTTGCTAAAATAAGGTTTGGAAACAGTAAATTCCAGTGCCCAAAGTTAACCATAAAACCCAATATCACAGATGACTGATAATGTTTATATTATATAAATGTGAGAGAAAAGAGATTTCTAAAACAAACTAAATGTGTTTTAAATGAAAGGGAAGGAAGTCGAAATAGATGAACCAGTCAAAGTTAGCTGACTTGTTTTTATTTTTTCTTTGTTGTTTTTCTTTTTTTTTTTTTTTTTTTTTGATCTATAACCAAAAGATGCCTTCTAACTTTTAACTTAAAAAGATGGCTCTGTAGCTTATGCACAGAACATATCTCTAATCAAGGAATCTAAACCAGGGCACAAATAATTGGTTATTTTGTTATATCTTTGTTAGGAGAGGGCATGCCTGTTCAATCTCTGAAAGCCCTGCTGATTTAATTTTAAATTCTGCATGCATGAGCTAGTGGCCTCCTCTTTATTACCTCCTCTTTTATGAAAAGCAATGCCAAAGGCACTGAGTAAGATGGCCATCTCGTTACAGTAACAATAGTTCTTACTGAGCACCTGCTATGTGCCCCCATGCCAGGCTTAAAATAACAGGAAAGCTACAGGAACCCATTGCATTAAGGAATTTATAATTCAGTTAAATAA